GATCAGTTTCAGCAGCGGCTGAATCTGGACGCCAGTTCCGACTTACATACAGATTCAACTTAAGAACAAACCTACAGTCCCTATCTTGTACGTAACCCGGGGACTGCCTGTATACAGAAGGAATGATAAATGCCATTACACAACTAGTTTGCATACACAGTAGGGATGTAAAATCCAGTTTAATTAGTTAACTGGTTAAACATTAGCCCCTTCAGCGGCTGAATCTGGACGCCAGTTCCGACTTACATACAGATTCAACTTAAGAACAAACCTACAGTCCCTATCTTGTACGTAACCCGGGGACTGCCTGTATACAGAAGGAATGATAAATGCCATTACACAACTAGTTTGCATACACAGTAGGGATGTAAAATCCAGTTTAATTAGTTAACTGGTTAAACATTAGCCCCTTCCCTTGCCAGTTAACTATAACTTTTCTTCTGTCACATGTAAGTGCATTACAAAGACAAAGTTAACTGGTTAATCATTCACATCCCTAATACATAGGTCTAAGTTGTCTTTGTAATGCACTTACATGTGACAGAAGAAAAGTCAGAAGCTGGGAAATCCCCAGAATACCTCTGGAGGAAATAGTCCATTGTGTACCATGACTAAGCCCTGAAAATTTGGTTCTGGTCTTCAGAGATAACCGATCATTTAGTCATAGTCTATCATTTCTGTTTAATAAAGATGCCATGAAGGTGACAAGTAATTTCCAACTCCCACCCTTTTCCTCTGATTTACCCAAGACACAGGGAATCAGGAAACACATTCACCCTGGTCTGTCTCTCCAGTCCTAGCCAGCCATATTTCACCACTGAAATTACCTCTTCCCATAAACAAAACAATTGTACATATGGAGCCAGTTCAAAGATTGTGTCTAAGGTACTTGGCTGTAAGCTCAGTGGGGCAGCAACTGTGGCTCACATTTGTGAAGCATCAAACTATGCCAGTACCTAAAAGATAGTTTTCCATGTTGCAGAATGTAGGACACAGGAGGCTGTCGGGATGACAGGGAAGTAATAACGGAGTCCAGGCAGCAGGAGAGAGATGAGCCATAGTTTAAATTGCAATCATATGGTATTTTAAGAATCCTATGCTCATGCAGTGACAAATTCCAATATTCTTGGTCAAATTCCAGTGTATAATCTGAGGATTTAGCCCATGGCCTGTGACACTCCAGTTGTGTGTGCGCGTACAATTCCAATATTCTTGGTCAAATTCCAGAGTATAATCTGAGGATTTAGCCCATGGTCTGTGACACTCCAGTTGTGTGTGTGCATATGAATATACATGTCAAAAATACCAGATGTGCACAAAGGAGATGCCAATACACTGACCAGTCACATCCTCAGTTTTGAGAGACTACCATCAAAACGGAGACCTCAAAGAATACTATGCATGCTATTGCTCATGACTACAGAAAGTAGTAATAGATGTGTGTGACATGTCTGGAGTGTCCTTCAATGTAGCACTGAACATGACAAGTGAGAATGGCTTTGCAAGCTATCACTGGTGGTGCTTAGTAAATATCACCTCCCTAGATTTCAAGTGTTAGAAAAACATGTGTAAGTCAGCAGATAGAAAACAGCTACCTCTATTACTTCATCTTCAACCATCACAAATAGCAAATCTGACCCACCACTTTCCTTTTTCTCTCCAATTGGTCCAGTCTGTGATTGGTCCTCTTGACAGAAATCCTGTTCTTCTCCACTTCATACAGCCTTTGAGCATTACATTTGCTGACATCAAGATTTAGATTTACTCTTACAAGTGCTGTCAGAAGCTTCAGAGCTGAAAAGGAAGAGAAACCAAATAAGTAAGCCTTAGTTCAGAGGTACACATTATAAAGTATATTCAACATGTTAAAAAACTGGGACTGTCAAGCAATTAAAATAATTAAATTGCATGATTAATTAGAATGTTAATCAATAATAGAATAGTATTTATTTAAATATTTCTCCTTTATATTTTCTACAGTTTCAAATATATTGATTTTAATTACAACACCAAATAAAAGTGTACAGTGCTTACTTTATATTTATTTTGATTACAAATATTTGCACTGTAAAAATGGTAAATAGTATGTTTCAATTTACAACTACTCTAGTGCATACACAATCCAGTACCTCATTCATACAAGTACTGCATTGCTGTGGTTCCCAATCTTTTTTATACCATGGACCAGCAAACTCATTCAAAAACTGTTGGCAAAGCGGCACTGAAATATTTGCATATTCATTATGGTAATCAATGTATTGTGTATTTGCATATTCACTGTGGTTATTTTAAGAGGTCACTTGTTATTTTACATTGCATCTGTACGCACACCATACATATCATAGTAACCGTAACCCATGGTATTTGAGGAAAATCAAAGGAGGAGGGACATGACAGTTAACAATTTAAAAAATTGCTGCACGCAAACATTTTTAAAAAACAATAAAATAGTTGCTCATACTTGTTAAAGAGTATTCTCCAGTCCAAACCTTTGGCCTCAACTGCACCGGAATTAAAGAGGCAGTAGTTAATAAGTCTGACTATGCTGACATTCTGCACATTCGTATTTTCTTATGCACTTAATAATGTATAATAACAATAATGTGTGTTAGCATTGGCTGGGAGCAGCTGGAGGCCAAGGGGAAGCTCCCGCTGAGCGGGGAGGAAGGAGAACTGGGTCGCAAGGGCAGCCGCCCTTCATGCATCTGAGTCGCTCCTCGATGGCTGCTCAAACATGCACCTTACAGGGAACACGCCCATGCTCTTTTGTGTTTAAAAATAAAGCACATCTTTTTGGTTTAGGATGGACATTGAATAAATTCTGCCTGTCGGAGGGGAGCCTCCAGAAAGGACCAAAGATAAAACTTAACTCCTTATGTGCTGTTGGGGCACATGAGCTGCGATTCACCAAATTGCTTAGAAAATCCCTGGAGAGGTGTCCTGGGACGTAACAAGCTCAAATCACAACTTTAAAGCTCAAAGTAAACACGGAAGGCACTGGCACCACAAAGGCTCATGCCCTAAATTTTCCTGGGCTAAAAAGGAGACCCAGACTTCCACACACCAGCCAAGCCGGCTACCCAGAGGAAACCCACTGGCCAACATATGGTATTGATCACAAACAATATCACCTACTCCCCTTTATCAGTGTTTCTGAAAGTGTACCACGGACACACTTTCAGAAACACTTTAACTGGCCATTCCGGTTTGTTTATGTACTGGCACCGCGGACACGGAGCCTTGCAGCTCCCGTTGGCTCCATTTTGTCCTTTGCAGCCAAGGGGAGCCGCGGGAAGTGGAGACCCAGCCCACATCGCTTCCCACGGCTTCCTTTGGTTGCAAAGGATGAAACGGAGCCAATGGGAGCTGCGAGGCTCTGTGGCCTCAGCACCAGCACATAAACAAACCGGGGCAGCCAGTTAAAGTGTTTCAGAAAATGCTTCCATAGTACACTTTCAGAAACACTGCCCTATGTCATAATCCCTCACTCTGAAGCTCTAAAGACCAAGCAAGTCAAATGAGAAGAACCTTTCCTTAGATCGGTAACATTATTCCTTTTTGTTCCTTATTTCAACAAATCACAGGGATGCCTGCAGCTAATTTACTAATTCTTCTAATATGGTGTTTCTCAAAGTGGGCCCTTGACACTTCTGGTGTTATCCCACTAGCTCTCCAGCCATCACAGAATCCTCCAGACCTGAAATTCTAAATAAAGAGCACAACAAAACCCTTTCCATTAATAAGCTCCTTTAAAAGTTGTTTAACTTAATAAAAAGTGGGGAGGGGGGCAAGTCCCCTTAAGAAGTCATTTGTTAGACATGTAACCAAACACGTTTCCAAACCAAGAGACATTGATAAGTCCCTGGAAAGAAAAAAATGCTAAACAGAATAATGTCAATCCAAGCCCTAATCATCTCACTGAGAGCACTACTAGAAATAAACAATAAAATAATGTAAATTCTTATACTGTATCTTCAAGGTTAGAGTCTGAAGCTGTGGATGAGAGGTTCGGTTCACTAAAAACAATTCATACCCCAGAAAGAACCCAAAATATTTAATTTGTTCCTTCCACCATAAAAGAATATTTTCTCAGAACAGTGTTTTTCTCTTCACCTCTCTAACACTGAAAACATAATATGGGAATTCTTGCTGTGAAGCCCTTGCTTGTCACTCAGTTGCAGAGTAAATCTCTGTTATACAAGGAGGGTTACATATGCACTGCAGACTTAGATTTGCTAAACCATTAAGGTTGGTGGCAAAAAATGAGAACGCAGCAACTGCAGTCACATTATAAATGCCAGGATGAAAAATATCCCAATTTGGGAGGATTATAAAGAGTCACTTTTTATCCATCACACTCACTATCACTTTCCCAGACTGGAGAATTATGAAATTATCATGCTTCTTACCATGACATATCCAATGGCCTGTTTTGATGCTGCATCTACTGCAGAAATTATTGGGAGTGAAATCCTCAGTTTGTTTTCTCTGGGTTTCACACCTCATATCATTGATATGGTCAAGAAAGGTTGACACCTACCTCAATTCCTAGTGCGCTCGGCCCTGGTGGCCAGGTCAGCCACTTCCCACTTGGCGCTTGGCCCTAGCTGAGTGCAGCAGCCACTCTCCATGTGGCCCCACAAGCCGGGGCCAAGTATCAGCCACCAGAGCTGGAACTGGGGCCACGGTGAGGCTGCCCCAATAGGGACAGCTTCATCATGCCCTGGCTCCAACCACAGCACACCTGGATGCCAGCCACACAGCTCATTCTACAGCTGCATGGGGACGTGGGCGGGAAAGAAATTCCCTTTTGGGGAACCCCGGGAGGGGGGAGAGACTAATTAAAAGCTGGGGGCATGAGAAGGCAATGTGCCGCAGCCCAGCAGGCAGGGGTTCGTGGCCCACAGCTGGTCCACAGATCAGCGGTTGGGAACTGCTGCTGTAATCATAGAATCATAGAATAATAGGACTGGAAGGGACCTCAAGAGGTCATCGAGTCCAGCCCCCCGCCCTCAAGGCAGGACCAAGCTCCGTCTACACCATCCCTGACAGATGTCTATCTAACCTGTTCTTAAATATCTCCAGAGAGGGAGATTCCACCACCTCCCTTGGCAATTTATTCCAATATTTGACCACCCTGACAGTTAGGAATTTTTTCCTAATGTCCAATCTAAACCTCCCCTGCTGCACTTTAAGCCCATTACTCCTTGTCCTGTCCTCAGAAACCAAGAGGAACAAATTTAATGCAACCTCCTTATGCAAGTTGAAAAATAAAACCATGTAAAACTTTTGCTCCTCCCAGTCCTCTCAGTCCTACTTCTTGCTCAGCCAAACCGCTCAGGCAAACAAGTTTAGTTACAATTTGTAGGCGATAATGCTGCCCGCTTGTTTACAATGTCACCTGAAAGGGAGAACAGGCTTCACATGGCATTGCTGTAACCAATGTCACAAGATATTTACATGCCAGATAAGCTAAAGATTCATGTATCCCTTTATACATCAACTGCTATTCCAGATTACAGACTGGTGAGGGATTCTGCTTGATAACGAAGCAGCACAGGCTACACATGTTCATTTTCATCATCTGAGTCAGATGCCACCAACAGAAGGTTGATTTTCTTTTTTGATGGCTCAGGTTCTGTAGTTTCTGCATTGGAGTGTTACTCTTTTAAGACATCTGAAAACATGCTCCACACCTCATTGCTCTCAGATTTTGGATGGCACTTCAAATTCTTAAATGTTGAGTTGAGTGCTGTAGCTATTTGTAGAACTCTCACGTTGATATCTTCTTTGCATTTTGTCAATGTTGCTGTAAAAGTGTTCTTAAAATGAACATGGGCTGGGTCATCATCCGAGACTGCTATAACATGAAATACATGGCAGTATGAAGGTAAAACTGAGTAGGAGACAAACAATTCTCCCCCAAGGAGTTCAGTCACAAATTTAATTAATGCTTTTTTTTTTTAAACGAGCATCATCAGCATGCAAGCATGTGCTCTGAAATGGTGGCCAAAGCATGAAGAAGTATACAAATGTTTAGTATATCTGGCACATCGATACATTGCAATGCCAGCCTGTTCTCACTGACAGCAGACATTGTAAATAAGAAGCCAGCAGCAGTATCTCACATAAATGGAAATAAACTTGTCCGTCTGAGCAATTGGTTGAACAAGAAAGTAGGACTGAGTAGACTGACAGGTTAAACTTGTCCGTCTGAGCAATTGGTTGAACAAAAAAGTAGGACTGAGTAGACTGACAGGCCCTAAAGTTTTACATTGTTTTGTTTTTAAGTGCAGTTATGTAATAAAAAAAAATCTACATTTATATGTTGCACTTTGGCAATAAAGAGATTTCACTACAGTACAAGTTGGACCTCCTTGGTATGGCACCTTACCAGTCCCACACATAGGAGATTGCCGAACCAAGGGAGGTTTTGGAGATGGGGGTGCCAGCCTCCCCGCTGGGCTCCTCTCCCTAGCCTCCTCTCCTTAGACTTCCCACCCTATAAGCTGCAGCAGCCCTACCACCCCAGAGCTTGCGGCAGCCCCGTCAGAGCTCATGGAAGCCCTGCCATCCCCCTGGAGCACCTGGTGTCTCTGTTAGCTGCAGGCTCCACTGCCCCACAAACTTCGGCTCCCCCCTCCTGGTTCCCTGCCCTGCCGGCTGCGGGCTCTAGTGCCCCACAGGATCCACTGACCCCACCAGCTAGCGCCATTGTGACCACGAATTTTGCCGAACCAGAGAGTCCTGGATCTCAGAGGTTTAACCTGCACTTGTATGAGGTGAACTGAAAAATACTACTTATTTTGTTTATTGTTTTACAGTGCAAATATTTGTAAGCAAAAATAAAAATATAAAGCAGCGGTTCCCACACTATGGGTCAGGGCCCCAATGTGCATTGGGACCCTATTTTAATGGGGTCACCAGAGCTGGCATTAAACTTGCCTGGGCCTGGAGCTGAAGCTGAAGCTCTAGCCTCACTGCTCAGAGCCAAACCTGAAGCCTGAGCTCCACCACTGAGGTCTGAAGCTCAAGAGGCAGCGAGGCTTGGATTTGGCTTTTGCATCCCAACCAGGACAAGGCTTAGGCTTCACCCTCCCTTCCTGGGGTCATGTAGATTTTGTCGTCAGAAATAGGTCATTGTACAACGAAGTGCAAGAACTCCTGCTATAAAGTGAGTGCTGTACATTCTGCAGTCTATGCTGTAATATAAACTAATATATTTGAAAATGTAGGAAAATATTCAAAAATATGTAATAAATTTCAGTTGGTATTCTATTGTTTAACAATGCAATTAATCATGATTAACTTTTAATCACAGTTAATATTTTTGAGTTAATGTGTTTAATACATTGACAGTCTTATGAAAAAAACACAAGCATACTGGCCAAACCCAGCCCTGCTTAGTCTCTAAGATCACAATCAAAGGTAGAATCAACAAAAAGACAGATATTGGAATAATATTTCTTTAAACTTGGTTGTGAAACAAAAGCGTTGTCAGAAGGTGTTTTATTCTGTTCTTGGCGATATACTTATTTTGGTAGCTTTTTTAATTCCAGGTGAATTAACTGATAAATGAATCAATTCTGGACATCTATCTAAAGCTACAGAATAAGTGCCTTCCACAAATGCAAAGAAATATTGTGAAATCCATGCAAGAGCTCAAGACCATGTGCACCAGAGTCTTGTAGTCTTTATGAAACTGTATAAAGTATGTTTACTTTTGTTAATTCAGGTCAACAGCTAGATTTCCATTTGTCAGTGGGCAGGGATGTCAAAGACAAAAAAAAGGAGGAGAGAGGCTGTTCTGTGGCCAATTGCTGACTTTTTAAAAGTATAAGCTAACCTAGATACTGTCATGCTGTAAGAGATAAGCAAGCTAGAAAAGTATTCATTTTTAATAGGGGTATTGTAAAAAAATCTCTTAAATGACAGATTTCTTAGTACAGGCCTGTGTACTAAGAAAATTAGAGACAAAAAACTAACAATGAAAAGCAACTGTTGCTTATGCACAACTTCCAGTACACAGTGGAATTCTGAAGTTAATTATCTGAGCAGTTACAAAAGAGTTTGCTAAATGTTAAAATGCAACTCATCTGCTTTATGGAAAATCTACATTCCAAAATTCCTCTTCAAATAAGAAATTTTGGGTGCCAAAATACTCCTGAACACATTTTAAATATGTGTGCCATTCATAACATGCTAGGCATTGTTAATGCACAAAGGAAGACAATTCCTGCCTTGGAAAGCTTACAGTCCTTTTCATAGTTGACCTATTTTGTACACACAAAGAGTCACCAAAACCCATAGTCTTTGATGAAAACTGTGACAGCAACGGGAGTTGTACTTACCTGCTAAAGTGCTGGTGTGCCTGAATGCTCTGACCCTGGAGTCTGCTAGCCCTGTGAGCAGTGAGATGACTGTGTCCATCAGGTAACTATCATAGAGGATGCTGTTCTGGCACTGCTGTATTAGTACCGCAGTGAACTCACAGAAGTTGGCCTTAAATTTCTTCCAGTAGGATCCTGGTTTGATGAGTGGATAATCTTCATTGTCCTGTATTAGAAGGAAAAAATAATTATAAAAACTGAAAGTCTCTCCATCCTGGAATGTCTTTTACACTACTTTGTTGGTGCACAGCAATCCCTTCATGCTCTGCTCACTCTCAGCCACAAATATGTAAAATCATTCCCAGACACAGGAAAGCCATGCCCAGCTAACCATGGACTAGCTAGGGAGAGACACTTGCACAACCCCAGTCCCAGCCTTCCTCCCCAGAAATGTGCATCTGATGCTGCTCCGTAGCACCCTGGGCAGTACAAACTCATCGATTATCTTCCTCCCCAGAAATGTGCATCTGATGCTGCTCCATAGCACCTTGGGCAGTACAAACTCATTGATTACTTCTCATTCTTGTTTATACTTTCTCCCATGCTGGTGGATGGGCAGTGAAGCAGGTCACAGCTTTTTAACCCCAGGCAGGTGTGCCAGTATGTCTTTGTCTCTGAGAAAATGGTTTGTGGGCATTACCCAGGAAACATATTTCAGTAGCAGTCATATAGCAAAATCTCCTATTTTTACACACGTTTCAAGAGAATAATAATATTCAGCAGATAAGAAGTTTTCAAATGGTAATTCATAGGTGACGCTACACTTTAGTCATAGGTACTTTTAGTAAAAGTTATGGACATATCACAGGGAATAAACAAATACTCATGACCCGTGACCTATCTATTACCTGTACTGTAAACCCCTGACTAAAACCTTTGGGGTGAGGGTCTGAGAAGCCCATTGGTGCCATGAATACTTGGCAGGACAGCCCAGGCAGCATTGCAGGGGAAAGCCCAGGACCACCCACGGGTGCTGGGAGGGGGAACTGGCGGGGCTGGAACTACATGGTTCTGTCTCCCCCCCAAAGTGAAGACACCCCCCTCTGTCAGCTCCACAGCAAATGAGACCTGCAGTGGAGTTGCCTGTGAGCAGAGGCAGCATGCATGGAGCTGAGGGAAGATGCTGCCACTGCTGGAGAGCCTCCCTGAAACAAGTGTCATCGAGAGCCCTCCACCCATCCATGCCCCATCCCCCCTATCCTAAGCCCCTCCCACACCCAAACTCCAGCTGCTGGGGGAGTGCAGTGAACTAAGACTGCCAAGCAATAGCTGATACAGCTGGCCCAGGGGCTGCTTGAACTGCTCAGGTGGCCACTGGAACAATCTCACCGGTCACTGCAGAAATCATGGGGCTCCAAGGAAGTCACAGAATCTGCAACTTTCATGACCTCCATGCCCAACTTACAGTCGTACTCCCAGGGCATACTTTTTGCCCAATGTATCACAGAAGTGGTGAACATGAGGTACAGGGTGTCTCACAATCCAGTAGACAGCTGCAGTTAAGAGGAGTATTGTGGCTGAGGTCTTGTCTACACCAGTGTTTCTTAATGAGTGGTACGAGTACCCTTAGGGGTGCTCAGGAGAAGTTGGGGGAGTACGTCAACACAACTGAAATTGGGAGAAAACTGAATTTTTGTTTTAAGTTTTACAGCGCTTTATTATTTTTGTAATTTTTACACCCAAAAATGTCATCACCCGCTCAGCTATGATTAAGATGTTTAAACAAATGTGTTGCAATGGTAGAAAAAAATTGTGTGTGAAAACTCTAGGTACTGGGAGAACTTATAAGTTTTTAAGGGGGCATTTTATAGTTGTTTCTATTGCAATTTTCTTTTTAAAGTTTCAGAAATGTCTATTACTCTTCAATTTTGCAAGATTATTTTTCTGAAAACTAAACTTTAAGCCAAATTTCACTAGACAGTGGCTCTTCCAAAATATTATCGAAAGAAAGGAATTTTTAAGGGTGTGCATGGGGAGAACATACACATAAGAAAAGCCAGTTGATGAGGGGGGTGATGAAAGGAAACACAGTTGGAAACCATTCAAGATACACACTCCGTTCAAACAGATGTTTGAGCTCCATAGTCCTACAGTACCTCACATAAGGCTCAATCCTGCAAGCTGTTGAGCACTTCCAACTCTTGTAAAGCCATTGTGTGCTCAGGTTCTTGCAGAATGGGGACCCCATAAATCAAGAAAGTTGATTTATTTAAAGCAATTCTGCAGTCACACAGGCAACATCACTGCACTTGATTTTCAGTACTGGAGCATTAGACTACACCATTAAGTACAATTTTCACATATATGCATCATTTGAAATCTTTACTTCAAGGATATTCAAAAAATGCAGTTATTTACCATATCCACTGGCCAAGTTACAGTCAGAATCCAGGGATAGGCCATAAATTTCTTGTATTGCAATCCTGTTTCCTGGAATGCAAAACACAAATTATAAAAGCCTTTGATGAACCTGCAAAAGTGATTCTGAACAATTTTATCTACCTAAAAATACCAATTGTGAATCACATTAAAAGATGTCATTTAAGCTTTAGACTGAATACATCTCACGCACATGCACACAATCTAATCCCCTTTTATATCACTTGTTTTTAGCTAAAACCAATGTCTACTTCAGTAAAAGACAAATGCAGTTGTAATGACAAGTAGTCACTGGCAAGTTTCATTTAAACATTATGTCCTGAAATGTGCAAACTATAGTCTTCACTGTTTATTCTGGGAGACAAAATCTACTTCATTTAAATTTAAATATGTATCAATCTGCAACATTCAGTTATTTGCTATCGTGAAATAGCTAGCCAAACGAGGAGTTTTCTGAGAGTATGGAATACTTGTATTCCTGTACTTGTGAAGTGTTCCTTGGGTAGGCATGGCCTGGGTGTTTGCCAGATCAGGGCCATTATGAAGTAAAACACAGCAATCATTCCAGGAGAGCAACATATCTCAAGTCCAAGATGAACAGAGTCAGACTTTTCAATTTACTGGTATTTCCAAGGAGGGGCTTAAGGAGATATACAGCCAAGATGAGAATTTCCAAGGAGGGGCTTAAGGAGATATTATACAGCCAAGATGAGGAGTTGAATTTGTATGTAAGTCGGAACTGGTACATTTGGAGGGGAAACTCTAACCAAACATTTCTCCAGAGCTCAGTTTTATTCTCCCACACCTCACTTCCCTCAGTCCTTTATTCTCAAACTGAGGTGTTTGCTGAGAAAAGCCGCTCCGCGTCTCCCTGGTCTGCTGTGGGGGGCGCTAGCTTCGCGTCTCCCTGGTCTGCTGGGGGGAAGCAGCTAGTGCGGGGTTGCCTCACCCCGTTTGTAAGTAGGGATCCGATGTAAGTCGGATCCATGTAACCCGGGGACTGCCTGTACTGGTATTTCCAAGGAGGGGCTTAAGGAGATATTATACAGCCAAGATGAGGATGGTGGTGATTTGGCAAAAAACTCAGAGGGCAAGCACTGGAAAAAGATCCTCAAAGGAGTGTAAGTTAAGTGGCAAAAGAGAACGGGGGCTGGCCTCATTACCCAGGCAGGAGTGAGGGGTGGAGGTGTCATTTTAAAGATACAGTTTTTTAGTAAATGCAGGCAATAAAACAGGAATGTGAAAGGTTAACTGGTTAACTAGTAAGCATTACCCATTAAAATAGGAAGGTAAAAGGTTAACCAGTTAACCGGTAAGTATCACCTGTTAACCAGTCGGAGCTGGAGCAGCTACCCATCTGCAGCAGACAGGGTGGGCCCTCCACATACAGGGCCTGCTCCAGTCATCACAGCAGAGCAGCCTCTGTCCAAGGGAAGCTCAGGCACTCCACAGGCGGGACTCCTCTGGCTGGGCTGGAAGAGTCCCCCTTCACCCATGCCCCCTTTAATCCGTTAACCAGTTAAACATAATTTTAAGTGGTTAACCAATTAGACAGGATTTTACATCCCTAGAATAAAATATCTTGTCTGGACTGTGATTGGCCATCCTTAATTCATATTATTATTGCTCTCACATAAGTAGGACAGCAATGCAAATTCATACGATCAACAAAATAGGAAAGGAAAAAAGTTGTAAGTTCCAACTGACAACTACAGGTTGAAACTCTCTAGTCTGGCACCCTTGTATTTAAGTGGTGCAAACCAGAGAATTTGCCAAACCACAGGACAGCAATACAACCGCTCCCCAAGTTGCGAACGGTCGAGTTACGACCATTCGCACTTACGACCAAAGCTCCCATGGAGCGGTCGTAAATGCGGTCCCCGAGTTACGAACGTGACCCGCGCTTTCGAACAGCGCGGTCACGTGTAACTCAATGGGGTCCGAGTTACAAACAGTTCGAGTTACGGACCAAGTGTTGGTCCGTAACTTGTTCATAACTCGGAGAGTGGCTGTATTGTCTGGCAGCATTACCAACATTTCAAATGCTTTAAGGTCTCTTAGAAAACATTTAAGCGTTAATTTGAGCTAAATAATAATACACAACACGGAGAGCCAGAACTGGTGGTTGTAAACAAACTTCATGGGACTGCGGGAAACTTGGCCACACTCATGACAAGTGAACATCCAGCTAACTAAACTCATGTCAGACAACAGATGTTGCCAGACCAGAAAGTGCTGGACTAAAGAAGTTTAACCTGTAGTTTCAACAGCAGCTCCCCATTAATCCACATTATATATTTTTAAAGACACCTATCAATCAGCTACCAAAGCAGCATGTTACTTGCAGCCATGCCCAATTGCATTTATCATTATTAGAATATCTTAACAGGAAAAAACTGTATGCCCCCAATTTACTTTTTAATTGAAAAAGAACTAGATGCAAGACGTGGCAAGAATGTAGGGAAGTATTATGAAAACATTGAAGGCAGGAATATTCTTTTTCAGGTACCCATGACTGCTTCTCATTCCAAACATGCATAAAACCTTTCCTACAGGAGAAAGAGAGGAAATGTAGGTTTCAGAGCGAGAGAGGGAGGAAGGGGGACAGTTACTACATAATGAACAGGACCATACAATTTCCATATTAATAGTTACTGCTCATTCGAATGAGCCATATAAAATCATCATTTCATGTTGCAATTACCTCATCAAATGTCTCTGTCATTTTTTGCATTACATCACTGTTGCACAAACTTTGGAACATCTCCGCTGTTACCATTCCTAGACAGGGGAAATTAAAATATTGGGGAATTTAAATGGAAATATTTTGCCATGCCATAAATTAACATTACTAAAATAATAAAATCTGTACTATAATAATGGCATTGATCTAAATCAGCAAGTGCCAAAAAGGGTAACCTAAATTGTTCTTCTTGTTTTTGCATTAGTGCAGGATGACAAATGAATAGGTTATTAGCAGCACATAACAGAGCACCAACATTCAGCTTTAGAGGAAGGCAGTTCAGTTCAGTGTCACACTGACACCAATTTCAGTTTGTTTATCCTCTTGTATAGCTTACATTCCTGAGTTCCATATTTTATGATAGAGGTGCTTAACAAGCCATGTAACAGAGTAAGCTTTGTTCTGTTCACTACAGCACATAAAATCTACAAGATTCCAATCTGTACATCCAAAAGATATGAGAAACACATTAAGTTGCCATTTATTTCTGTAGCCGTAACACCAAAAATTGAGCATGGTGCACACAATTCAGTATGGGTATGTCTACACTTGCACCCTAGTTCAAACTAGGGATGCAAATGCAGGCATTCGAAATTGCTAATGAAGCGGGGATTTAAATATCCCATGTTTCATTAGCATGATCGCGCCAGCGCATTACTCTGAATGCCAGCTGTTCCGAAAGTAAAAGTGCACACCGGGACGCATTAGTTTGAACCAAACCCCTTGGTTCGAACTAATGTTACTCCTCCACTGGTTGTACTTCCCTTAACCGGAACTCCCTGGCCCAGCAACATCCGTGGTCCAGCACAGACCACAGATGTTCCTGGACCACACGGCCCAGAAACAAGGAGGGATCTGGAGGTGGGGCAGAAGCACCGTAGAAGGCACTGGCGACTCAGCTGGGAGCCCTGTGTTGAGGGTGTGTGTGGACAGGCAGCACAGCGGGGAGTTCTGGCCCCAATGGGGCTCTTTGCCCCGAGTGGCCATGAAGCTCCAGCTGTGGCCAGGGAGCTCCAACCCCAGCAGCAGCCAAGGAGCTCCAGCCACAGCCCTCCGTCCCATCCACAGAATCTGGTGGCTGTGGCGCTCCAGCTGTGGCAGGGATGGCGGCATCTAAAGAGCCCCAGGAGGCTTGGGCAGCAGCAGGGGCAGGCTGGAGCCCTAGCTCGATGGCAGCATGGGCCATGAGGGGAGGGACCTTCCCTGGTCCGGCAAATCCACTCATTCAGGACCAGTCAGCTCCCAAGGGTGCCAGACCAGTGAGGTCCAAGCTGTAGTTCGTGGCTCTATGCCTGCTTTGGAAATAGTTATTATCTAGACTCACAATCACTCTGTTGCAAGTAGATAGAAGGAAGAGAGACACATTGTTCCTCAATCAGCTGACATGCATGACTCAATTTGCTAGTACTGTACTTTCAGATCCCCAGATGAAAGAACTAGGTCAGTGCAAACTAGTATTCTGAAATCAACAAAAACTTAAGATCTTAAATTTGAACAGTGATAAAAAATGTTTTTCAATATTTTCCCCACTGGTATCACTAAAGTGATAAGCACATAAAGGACATATGAAGTAAGGTGCATGCTGATTGCACACAACTTTGACTCAGAGCTGTGCTCTCCCTCTCCAGCCAATCAAAGCACTGCTGCAGTTCAATAAGCGCACCCCACAAATTCTAGGTAGGCAAGCACAGTGATCAAAACTACCTTGTCCCAGGAGCCCATCTTGGGCTCCCCTTGTGGGTTCCAGAAGCAGGTGCTCCAAGAAGCAGTCACTCAAAGTATCAAGAAATTTTATCTCTGAATCCTGTCCTGAGGAAACATGTACCCCGTCAATATGGGGATAGTTGAAATCCCCCACTATCACTGAGTTTTTTATTTTGACAGAATCTCTACTCTCCCTTAGCATTTCATAGTCACTATCGCTGTCCAGGTCAGGCGATCGATAATATATCCCTACTGCTATATTCTTATTATTAGAGCATGGAATTACTATCTACAGAGATTCTATGGAACATTTTTGGCTCATTTAAGATTTTTACTTCATTTGATACTACATTTTCTTTCACGTATAGTGCTTCTCTCCCACGAGCATGACCTGTTCTGTCCTTCCAATATATTTTGTATCCTGGTATGACAGTGTCTCATTGATTGTCCTCATTCCACCAAGTTTCTGTAATGCCTATTATAGCAATATCCTCCTTTAATACAAGGCATTCTAGTTCACCATCTTATTATTTAGACTTCTATCATTTGTGTATACGCACTTTAAAAATGTGTGCCTATTTATCTGTCTGCCATTTCCTGATATGAGACTCTTTTATATTTGATTGTTTTTCATCTGATCTTATCCATACTTTATCATCTTCTACCAAAAGAAATTTTCCAGCAAAAGGATATGCCTATATGATACTGACTTACCTTGACAGCCTGAGCACTGAATGTAGAAGCTGATCAGATCCAGAAGTGCCACATCTCGATCTTGGATATACGCTTCAACCCAGTCATCTACCACAGACTAAAATAGATTACAGGGGAAAAAAGGCAATCAAATGCTAAACAAAGCACATATATTCCGGCCTTCAAATTCTTAATCTCATATGTCTAACATTATTCTGTCATCAATAGTTATAAAAAATAGATATCCAGAATAAGTGGTCCACCATTTGGTTATTACCACAGCAGTATGCATACAAGTCCTTCTGAAGCAAAGTAAACTATTGGAATGTTATTCCCAAAACTACATACACCCTTTATGCAGTGTCAGAACTAACTCGGGGTATGGCACAACAAAACAAAGTATCTGCTCTCAAAACAACAAAAACCCCAATGTTTTATCAAAATTTGTTCCTAGAATTTCTCAAACAAAAGAAAATAAAAAGAAAATTGGCACCATCACTAATCAATATCATAAATATTTTACAACATTAATATCATGCAAAAGATGATTACAATATATGTAAACTTCTGAAAAACATTTTTGTATCTATTATCAGAGATGGAATAAACTATAAACACTGATATTAAAAAAAAATCAGCTTTAAAAAAAACTTCTGACTAAAAGTTTCAGGCTATTCTACTCAGCAGCATTATTTTGGAATAACTGACATTATTCTGAAATAACACAGTCCATGTCTACACAGCAAGTAGTTATTTCGACAAAATGTCAAAATCATGTCGAGCTAGAGCCGAAATAAGCTATTTCAACTTAAGCTATACAATTAACATAACTCAGGTTGCATAGCTATTTCAGCTTTAGCCCTGCTGTGTAGATGTGCCCTCAGAGCGCTATCTGTGTTAGTCTGCAACTTTTAAAGACAACGAGGAATCCCGTAGCACCTTAGAAACTGACAAAAATACATATAGTTTTTGTCAGTCTCTAAAGGTATCACAGGACTATTAGCTACTTTTGACTCAAGTTTGCCACCTGCTATTACAGATAGCACCAAAGACAACTATAACTGAAAGAAATAAGGAAAAATGTTTTACTTTCATTTAGTTTCATTCAAATTCATACATCCCGAGGTCAGAAAGACCATTGTGATTATCTAGTCTGACTGGTATGCAACATGGGCCATAGAGCTTTCTCCAAAATAATTCCTTTTAAACTAGAGCTTACCTTTTAAAAAAAATCCAATTTTGATATAAAAGTTGCCAGTGATGGAGATTCCACCATCGGTGGAGCCTACCATCCAGAATATAGATTAATTATAAAGGGCTTGTAAGAAGCACGTCTTTGATTTCATAAGGCATTCTTCAGCAAAGAAAAAACTTACTGGGAAACAGGGAAACTGACAATTTACAAAATGCTGTCAAACGGGAAGGACAGGAGAAATAATAGTCAAGATTTCCTAAAAGGGTCTAAAGTGAATCTCTTAGCGCCACATCAGGACCCTTGAAAAACCATGCTATCTAAGTGTCCTAAAGCACCTAACAGCTCCCACTAAAGTCAATGGGAATCCTTAGGGCTTTGCCTTCACACAAAAATTTAAAGCTCAGCCCAAAGGCATAGCCAGAAGGGCCCACTTGGATGGACCCCAACTTCACGTGGGTGGGCAATGACGGAAAGCATGGGTAATATCTAGCATCTGGCCCTGCTCCTCATGGCTATGCCCCTGGTGCAGTTGTGGCAGCACTTGAACATGGCAGTATGGTCATGGCACCAGCTCTCCCAGTACTCCACGTAAACCACCTCCACAAGGGGAGTAGCTAACTCAGCTGGGAGCACGGTACCCCAAACTGTAGCCCATTTTACACTAGCACTTCACAGCACTGTATCTTTCTGGGCTCGGGGGAAGGGAACTCACATCCCAAGCCAGCAAGTTGCGATACAGTAAAGTAGCAGTGTAGACTTAGCCTAGGGTTTGAAAAATCAGATGCTTGCGATACAGTAAAGTAGCAGTGTAGACCTAGCCTAGGGTTTGAAAAATCAGATACTTTTTTTTTTTACGTGCTTAAATATTGCTTTTAGAGCCTGGCTTTAGGCACCTTTTGTTTGGAAATTCCTGCCCAACTTTTCTCACTAAATCTTCTCATATTTACAGTAAACTTATTACTTGTAAGAACAAAAAAATATTTCAGACAAATGTAATTTTTCAAGTTGACTGTATAATGAACACTACATTAAGACTCAATGGATTTTAAAGTTAAACCAGAAATTACTGAGAGTCGATTAAATATTATGTGCCTGTTTCCCCTCCCAGCAAGTAGCATGCCAATTCAGTCTAGGAACTGAAAGTACCTGAATTGCCCTCTTGCCCATGCTGACCACTTCAAACAATGTAACCGCTTCAACCACTTCTCCATTCTGTGTCTGGCTTGACTTTCTGCTTCTGGAAGAATTTCTTCGTCTGCATGCAAACTGTTCCTGGACCTTCCTTTTTCCGCTCTAAAAGCATTCAAGAGAAGATGTGTAACCATAAGACAACTAATGGCCATCCAAATGCAGGCTCTCTGGATGTATTCTATTCTTTAGCAATGTGTTCCTGTTACTCGCATTTCCCCTGATTTTATAGATTTATTCAAATGTTGTCTAGCTGCCAGTGGCAAGGAACTATCAAGCAGAGCAGTATGGGGAAAGGATGAAGAAGATATGCCAGATGAAGCTTCCTTTAGCAAGAATATTCTTAAGTAGGAGACTGTAACTAATGAGCAGCTGCCAAGTGGTTGCCAACCATTGTGAGGGCGTATAGCAATAGTGGTTTGCTAAACAAGCATGGAGGTTTGCCTATTCACTCACAGGATAAGCACTACATTGGCATTAATATCAGCTGCATATACTGTGCATTTAAGGAAGCTTATATCCCAAAGTGACTTGATTGCGATTCCTGATGCCAAGAGAATTTCGAATCAAACTCTACTCATGAAATGAGAGGTTAGAAGGTCTTTATCCCCAGTATCTATGCCTTGCAATATTCCACCCACTTATTCAATGCAACAGGCTACTAATTTATATAATGAAAACATGCACTCACTGGAGTTTGCAAGTTGCCATTTCTCAGAGAGCTGCCACTCTGTACAGTGGATTCAGGCACAGTCTCATCATGGATGACATTTTCTCTGGGACATAATAAACAGAAAAAACTTTGAAAGATATATAGGACTTCCTGTGAACATATTGATCTGCACCCAAATAACAGACTTGCACTGTCTCCACAACAGGCTTAGTAGCATCCAAAGAACAGAAAGTTAAATATTAAAATGTCAACATTTGGGATGAAAATCATGGCCTATTTTATCTTTGCACAGTCTCCATGTTGGGTTTTGAAGCCATTTGATTAATCTGTAATGAAATTACATCTTTTTTCAGCATTTTCCAAGGTGAACATGCTTTACAAAGGCTATTTTAAGCTGTCTTTAATGAACTGATTGGTTATCAGCAGGCAAGGAAAGATGGGAGAAAAAATAGGAGGTATGGTAACCCCTTTTATTCTATAATCTCTTAACTTAAAAATAACTTTATGCATAAATAATATGGGATTCAATTATTTTTCACAACTACCTATACAACAAAAAGGTGAAAAACATTTACAGAGAATCTCGCATCAGTGACGCAGTCACTATCTTTCAATAGTCCCATCAATGGAAAAAGGTGAAAAACATTTACAGAGAATATCGCATCAGTGACGCAGTCACTATCAGTGATATCTTTCAATAGTCCCATCAATGACATCTGAAATTTAAGAGAAATAAATTTTAAGACCAGATGGGACCATTAAATCATCAACTCCAAATTCCTGTCTAACACAAGCCACCGACTTTCATCCAGTTACTCCTAATGCAATAAAATACAACCATAACAATGAATCTTCCATGCACATCACACAGCTTAAGGACCTTCCATGTTAGGAATTTTGTCCCAATTCACATGGGCAATCATCCTGAGGCACCATAAATGGAACTGATAGAGTTTCAAAACATGGCATTGATACATGGTCAATGATATCAAGCCACACAACAAGATATTAAGGACAACTGCCTGATCAACATCATACGAAGGTAACAGTTTAACATCCTGGTCATTCAATAAGTGTTTGGCCAGTCTTCCAAAGGCAGCACTGGCTTTGGCTAGTTGAGCAGATATATAGTCATTTCCAATATTTCAGCCCTCCACTGCTCCCCAGGAGCAGTCTGCCAGCTTCCAGGAACCTGTCAGGGTCCGGAGAAGGCAGGCGCCTTCCTGATTCAGGATGGAGATCATAGACCTTATTCAGGTTTGGGAGGGGGACCGCAGCCGTCTATGGCAGGATAGCTGCCAGCCTGGCCATCAAAGGTCACATGCGAACCCAGGAGCAGGTTTGCATGACAATCAGGTTGGTCCGGTGAAACCCCCAACCCTAAGCCCTGAGCTTCCCCTCCCTCTTCTTCCCCTTGCTTCTCCCTTCCAGCTCCCTCCTCCCAGGTTTCCCCCTCGCCTCTCCCACCCTCTCTTCTCCCGCCTCCTTTCCCCAGTCTCACCAGAGTTTCATTCCTCCCTTTCCCCCAAGTTTTGTTAAACGGGATGCCCCCAACTTCCACGATCTCCACACTAGATGATCCACGAGAAGCACCAGAGTACCCAGGGACAGCTCTGGCTCCATGCTACAGAGTACTGTGGTGTCCCGAGTGAGGGAAACCCAGAGCACGCAGAGACAAAATGTTTTGCTGTCCCTCATCGAGGTAGGCAAGCAAGCAGGGAAAGCTGAGAACTGGCTGTCCGGGGGGTGGAGGAGGGGCTGGTCCCTTTAAGCACAGGCATCAGATAGCCTCAGGAAGCAACCCCACACAATAAGTCCTGACCTGATGCCCTACCGGACCTGGTTCCGGCTGGCCTTAAATGCGATTCAGCGTCCACTCAGTGTCGACGCACTATTTCAAAATAGCAAAACGCTATTTCGAAATGCATTTTGTGCATAGACGCGTTATTTCGAAATAACTTATTTAGAATTAACTATAATGCTGTAGCATAGACATACCCTGACTGACCTGTTAGTTTCCTTAGAACCCCTACTGGAACAAATATGCACCCTGCCCCACTCCTGCAACTAACTGCAATCTGCAGAACAGACCCCGTCACTACATACACACTTGAAGAATTGAGGCTCCGGTATATTTTACTGGTGATAATAAAGGGTAGGTTTAAATTTACTTTTTGGATCTACAGTGACTACTCAGTATCAGCAGAATTAGACTCTCAATGACTGCCACATAGTTTTAGTATTTTGCTACATGAGCCCCATATAATGTATGCAGGAGGCTTATGTGAGGAGTCTCATTGGTTTCAATGTGACTTCTCACTACAGTAAAATTTAAAATGTACATACATATTTGAAGAACTGAGCGCCGAGACAGCAATCCGGGGTGAGTAAAATCTTAGATAAATTTTATTAATTTAAAATTAGTTTGAATGTAGCGAGATGGATTATAGGTAACAGTCAAATCAGGCCACTACATGCAAGAATTATCAAATATTTCTCTTTGATTTATTATTTTCTGAGCTGCAGACAAGTAAGTGGTTCCGTCAAATGCTGCTTAAAACATTTTAGATCAAAAATGGAGATGCTAAAAAACTAAACATATATGTAGCTTGTTCTTCAAACACACGTTCTTTTCCTGATCCCAGATGGATCTCTCCAGACCTTAATTCTTTGTAGCTCACTAACTAATTAAAATGATTCAAGAGTGTATTTTGTTTTTATTCTTCTACATAAATAATTTCTCTCTCCATCAGTTTTGAACCTGGGTATAACATTATGTAGCTGGACTAACACATTCTTTCTTGTGCTGTTTTACTAGAAAAACCACCACAGAGCATAGCCAATCACTTCACTATTTGCACAATCCTTTTAAACACTTAAAATACTTGTTATAATGCTCAATATAACTCTGCACTATCTGCCCCCACCTCATCCAATATAATGTACAGAAATATTAGTGCTAGTACATGTTCCAATGATGCCTACGCATATTTCACAGCTTCTGTAATCAAATCCAAACATAATACAGGGACTTAAACTATGGGAAACGTAAAGATCTCATTGTAAGACAACTCAACCCAGGTCATGTCTGAGCATGCAGATTACTGCTTCTAAGAATTGTTTAGTATTCAGTTCAACAAAAACTTTATAGCAAGTGGTTCTTTCCCACACAGAAGCCTGAAAGGTGATCTAAAACCAAGGCACATATGGGAAAATTGTCTCTGAATTCACTAGTGTTGAAGGTGATCTAAAACCAAGGCACATATGTTACAGCAGAGATGAATTTGGCCAATGGCATTTACTTCACACAAGTGATATATATAGGACTTCCACTAACTAGGCTATAAGGCGCAACCATGCCACAATGCCAATGCTTCAACTTTTTAGATCACTTGAAATATGGGATTGCCTCTGTTCCCACTGCACTGTGATGCAACATGAAGTACCATGCTATAGCATAATCCCACCGACCTAGAAAGAGTCAATAACATATCTTTGGGCATAGTGCTCTGTTTTTTAAAAATAATTTAACAAAAGAAAATGACATGCTGCATCCCTTTCCTTCCCGCCCTCTTTCTATTATCTGTAGGATTTCCATCTAGGTTAGAAATTCTTTGGGACAAGGATCCATTACATGACATGTGCAATAGGCCTCTTACTGATCTCTAAGCACCATCCAAATGCTAAACTTCACACACAAGGAGAATCTTACACAGAAGCCATATTAGGACAGGACCAACAAAAGTAAAAAAGAATGCGCCTCAGAATGAATTAGGAAAATTCCCTCTCATTTAAACAGCAACCCAAAGAATCAGTAAATGTTCAACTTCCCATACCAGGTATAGATTGGTGTTAGTTCCAAAGACATATAGCCTACTTTCAAATCCCTCTAATCTGCCTTTCTTTATCTTTCCAGGAGACCTGGAGAGTCTCTCCCATTCACTAGACATTCAGACTGTGCACACATTTTTCTTCCAGGCAGACTGTTATCCAGTTCCTTTCAACAGACAGCTTCCCTAACCCATCATTCACATAGGGATGTGAACCAGTAAGTATCACCCATTAAGGTGATGGGTTAACTGACGCGGGGCCAGAGCAACTCCCCACCTACCATTGGCAGAGAGCTGCTTCACCCTGTAGGGCCCACCATGGACAGGAGGGACTCCAGCTAGCCCACTGTAGAGTGTAGACACCTAAACATACTGCTGCGGACAGTGACGCTGTCTTCAGAGTTGGGCTCCAGGCCAGCAGGCACCACTCTCCAGCCTCTCTGAAGGCAACAGCAACAGTGCAGATGTAAGGGTGACATGTATGGTATTGCCAGCATTACTTTTGCACTGCTTTTGGCAAAACACTGCCTTCATGGCTGGATGCCCAGCCATTAGCCACTGCTCTCCAGCCTCCCAGCTCTGAAGGCAGCACAGATATAAGGGTGGAAATACCATAATCCCCCCCACAACCCATTTTAGGACATGACCCCTACAGTTTCAACACAAGATTTAAATATCTGAAATAATGAAATTTATTATTTTAAAAATCTTATGACTGTGAAATTGGCCAAAATGGACCCTGAATTTGGTAAGGCCCTACCCATAACTACGTACTGTGCTTAAGAGCCTTTGATGAGGAATCTTATCCAAGGCTTTCTGAAAGTCCAAGAACACAATAGCCCTTGGATCACCCTTGCCCATGTGCCTGCTGAGCCCCTCAAAGAATTCTAGTAGATTGGTGAGGCATGATTACCCTTTACAAAAGCCATGTTGAGTCCAACAAATCACGTTCATCTAGGTATCTGATAATTCTTTTCTTTTTCAGCCACTTTGCCTGGTACTGCAGTTAATCTTACTATCAGGATCATCTCTAGAACCATTTTAAAAAACTGGCATCACATAACCGTCCTCCAATTAGTTGATACAGAAGTGATTTAAGTGACAGGCGAGTCATTGGACTATATTTTCCAAGAGAAAGCACAGAATCAGATATCAAATTCAATACCAAGCTGCTCTGAAGGCAGCACAAACACCAATAACAGTACAGAAGTAAGGATGACATGGTATGGAATTGCCATCACTTTTACACTGCTCTTGGCAAGACACTGTCTTCAGGGCAGGACGCCCAGCCGTTAACTGCTGTTAATGCTTTTCCACCATGATGGCAGCTCTCACTTTGATGTCCCTGCGACAGAGGGTAGAGGCAAGTTCTGTAACCACTGCTGCTCATCCCATATCTGCATCACAATGTCAACCCACGTGTAAGGGTTTCCCAGGCCCAGAACCAATGGTCCATCATGTGCAGCTGCTCCATGAGTGCAAACAGTGTTCCTGCCAAGCTATATCTTTTCCTGTCCTATCCCTTTCACTACATTTTTAGTGATGCCAGTAATGCGAGGCCTGCAGGACTTGACTTATCCTCTATAAGTTGGCTGTAGAAGTAGTGTAGTGTGATAAGGGTTAATATATTTTAGAAATTAAACTAAATATCTTCAATATCTCTTTAGAAATTATGAAAGACTTTGTAGCGTAATCTTTAGTTGGATCAGTACACAGATGGGGTATGTGACTCAGTGCCTCATGAGACCTAAAATAGGCCCAAAATCTGCAAGACCCAGTCAACCAACATTTTTTTTTTTTAAAGGAAACAGGCCTTCTTGTACCTAACCACCAATTCCCGCTTTTTCCACATCTGGGAATGAGTCCAGGGGGGCATCAGCTGATATTATTCATGCATATTCAAAAGCTGTCCCTTTATCACCAATCAAGTATGTGTACCCACAAATTCTCAGGGTGTGGAAATCTGTTATGGCCATTAGAGGCTGGGTGTTAATGATGCAAAAAGATGGATAAAAGCTATGGAAATAAGGAAGCTCAGGGCTCGAGCACAAGCTCTCTCTTCTTCCTAATTAGGATCTTCTCTTTTCACATTCGTGCCTTTACTTTACTTGACCTTACTTTGCTTCTAAATTGCTCTGCTTACTAATTTTCCATACTTCACCTAGCACCAAAGTCCCACAGGCAGAGTGAGGCTGGTCTCTCACACTCACTCTTCTCATAGAAGGGTACATAAGTATGGTATTATATTAGGTAACTCTATCTGTATACTTAGATAAATACAATCTATATAACCAGATTTTGTTATTGCTACCCTCAGCGGTGAATGAATCAATCTGCGTGATCAGTGCTGTTTGCTTTGTTTTGTTTGCCATCTTAATACCTGTCACAATAAAAATGGTTTTACTTTGGTACTATCCTCATTGTGAGTGTGGCTGCTGCTATGGGCCCCCAGATCCACTTACAAACACAGAGCTTCATAATTCTCAACTTCTGTGACCTGGGGAAGGAGGACAAACCTAAAACCTTCTAGTCAGATTGGAGAGCCTTAACCACATAAATCATATTATACTTCACCCCCAGGCAACATCAGCAATCTTTCCATGACACACAATAGGGCCAACACCACAATGTCATTATCAGATCTGCAGCTCATGAAATTCTCCAGGATCAGTCATACTGTGTTCATAACACTCACCATAAGACTGAGAGCAGTATAGGATCCATGCTTTCAGATAGAGATGGCAGGCATGCAGTTTACAGAGGAAACTGAAAAGTGGCACAAAACATAGCCCAAAGCCCATGGAATGACAGGATGGAGAAAACTGCATCATAGGATGGTGAGCCTGCCCCATTGAGGCACTGTGATTGATTCCTAGCAGCAGATGGTGACAAGCTATACCGTGGAAGAGCTACGCACTGGTGCATTGCTCTCTCTATCAATACAGAGCACCAACTGTAGATGTACTCCACCATCACAAAGAGTGTTGTGTGGATGTGCAAAAGCTGACTCCAGCTGGGGCTGCACTCCTGTGCACTGGCCCAGGCAAGACTGCACTCCCACCTATGTAGGCCCAGCAGGGACTGTGCTGCCAGCCCCGCTGCCTCAGCTGGGCGAGGCTGCGTTCTACACTGTGCCATCTCCACTGTCGCCAGGGCTGGGCTCCCCAGTACCAGCCCAGCAACCAAGAATGTTGCCAGACAAGAGAATCCCGGATTTTAGAGATGCAACCTGTAGTTCTGCAATTTCATATTTGAGTTCCTTCAGAACTCTGTGAATTACCATTAGATTCTGGTGATTTATTACTGTTTATCAATCTCTGTTAAAACCTCTTCTACTGACACAGTGTGAGATAGTTCTTCAGATCTGTCACCCAAAAAGCATAGTTTCTTCCATCTCTTCTGCAGCAAAGACTATGGCAAAGAATTAATTTAGCTTCTGTGCAATGATCTTGTCTTGTCCTGAGTACTCCTTTAACATCTTGGAAATACTATCATCCCACTGCCTATTTGGCAGGCTTCCTGCTGCTAAAGTACTTTAAAAAATACCTCATACAGTTAGTGTGCACGCCTTTAGCAAGGGACTTCACAAACTCTTTCTTGGCCTGCCTTATCAGGGAACAATAAAGGAAACAAATTGTTTAAATTAAGGTTCTGCACATTTTTCATGGCAGGCAGACTCCTCATCAAGTCAATGAGGGTGCAAAATCACACAGTAACTTAAAAGATTCAAAGTGGTCATTTGATCTGCTTAAGGAAGAAAGAATACAGTAAAATTCCATTGGTCCGGCATCCAATGCTCCAGCACTCCTGATGGTCCAGCACCAGCAGGAACCCGGAAGTGTTCGGGGCAGCTGGACAAATGGAGCTGCTCTGCGCCCGGCTTTCCCGATTCAACCGCTGCTGAAACTGACCAGCAGATGAATCGGGAAAGCCAGGGGCAGAGCAGCTGGGGTACGGCTGGGTTGGTCCCATAGCGCTGCCCCTTGGGGCTGCAGGACCAACCCGGCAGCACTCGAGCTGCTCTGTCCCAGGCGTCCCCAAGAGCAACTGGAGTTCTGCTGGGTTGGTGCGGTAGCGCCGCCCCTCGGCGCTGCGGGACCAACCTGGCAGCACCCCAGCTGCTCTATTGCAGGCATCCACGATTCAGCTGCTGCTGAAACTGACCAGCAGTGGCTGAATTGGGGACGTCTGGGGCAGAGCCGGACTATCGGAATGGGGGGCTATGAGGGATCTGGGGTGGCATCCCCTCCACCCCACCCCAGACACCTCATAGCCCCCCCTTCGCATCGGCATATATGATAATCCGGCATCTCCTGGGTCCTAAAGGTGCCGGATTATCAGAAGTTTACTGTACTGCTTATCTGTACGTAGCACATAAAAGAGGCAATGGGATTGTTCTTGTGTGTGTTCTTACAACATAGCCCATGTGTGTGCTGCACATGTACATGACTAGAATTATTGATGGACATCTAGTGTAGTTTAGTGATAATCATATGCGTCTTCATAACTCCTGTTGATACTGCTGAAGGGAGGCACACAAAATTGCTGTTCATGGACTGACAGATCATTTTAGTGGGCTTGCAAATGTAGTGCCTGCAGGTCTGAATGTTCCCTTAGAATGAACATCACCTCAAGTACATTTGAAAGCCATTTATACCTGCTAGAGTTGACTTTTGTTGTCATTATCCTGTATATTCTTGTTTCCACTAAATGTTATTGCTCTCAAAGCAAGAGTCATGAACTCTGCGGTAAAACAAATGACAAAAGAGATTCAGCACTATCACTGCCATTACCTTTCATGACAACAGCCAAATGATGCTACATATGAATATTGCTGAGGCTACGTCTACACTGCACAGTTATTTCGGAATAAGCTATTCCGGAAGAGTTTTTCTGGAATAGCTCTTCATCCCTCCCCACCCCTTCTCTCCCCGTGAGGATGATAACAGGCATCTTGAGCCCGGAGTCTAGAACCAGGGTGGGGGAAGGGACTTCCCCACCCCCAAGGATGGGGTCAAGGACTTTAAAATAAGGGCAGCTGTGGGGCTCTGCTCTGGAACAGGAGTTGCCCTCCATGGCCCTGGCATATATTTGGTGGAGCTCTTTTACCTTCATCTGCACCTGCTCTTGGGTGCGAATGTGTCCTTTTGTGACAACGCTATCAGCCATCCACCCTTAGATGTCACTTCTGCACCTCCATTTCCCCTTCCAAGTTAGTACACTATCTTTCCCTGGTGGAGGTGTGATATGGACATTGGGGATTTGGTCCTCTGGCAGAGGCACTACAGAAGTCAAGCCCTGTTTGAGAATCAGTTAAAACAAAAACCCTAATGTAAGAATTCACATATACCCCAGCAGGCTCAATAAGTCCTTCAGCCCTAAACAATCTGTTAACTGCCCTCACCAGCCAATTCAGCACCTTGCAAGACTCAGCTCCCTATCTCATGTTGCAGCAGAGAGCTGGACTATCGGAAGGGGGGGCTATGAGGAGTCTGGGGTGGCATCCCCCCCACCCCACCCCAAACCCCTCATAGTCCCCCCTTCTGATAGTCCGGCATATCTGATAATCTGGCACCCCCTGGGTCCTAAAGATGCTGGATTATCGAAAGTTTACTGTATATGGTATATATATTTCAATGAAACAACAAAAATAGGCGTCAGTAACAGCAAATACTCAGTAGAGGGAATCTCCCAAAGCCATGCATTTTGGACCCAACCAGTGACTACAGGACAATATACCACAGGCAATATACCAAAATAACAATGTATGTAGAGACCCCTCATTGTCAAGACTTACTTTTGGATGGGGAGGTTACCAGTGGTGTAGGCCTTGGCTATCATTTCTGCTACATCATTTCAGCAGAGCAGACAGCAAGCTGACATGATCCACACCGTGTTTGCGAAACACCGCCAGGAATGGGAATAAGAGTAGGGTTACCATATTTCATGTTCCCAAAAAACGGACACTGCAAGGAGTGAGAGTGGTGATGGGGACTGGAAGAGGATATCTGCAGAAGGGGTAGTCACTGGAGAGGGGAGGGCAACATCATATTGGCAGGGAAGCTGTTATTAGCCCAAAACACAGTGACTACACTCAGTCAGTACCTCCCTGTGGGACAGTCCTGGAACCCCTTTCCTAGGATTGAGAGGGGATAGGGGCTTTGGTTAGTGGGATCCAGCTGTAGGTTGCAGAGGAAAGGACCAATTAGCTGAGTGGATAGGTGAACTGGGAAGCAGACCAATAGGGGTTCTTTCTGAGTTTCAGCTTGCCTGCCCTGCAAAAACCTAGACATTTGCTGTTATTTGAAAATTCTGCCCACCCAGAGAAAGCAAGCTCAAAAAAGAGGCTCTCTCCAAGGAAACGCTGGTGTATGGTAACCCTAATTAAGAGCAGCAGAGACTAAACTCCACTTCTTTAGTTCTTGTCACAGAAGCAGCAGCGAACCTGTCAAGAAAAAAAATCAATGGCTAGAAATTAGCAAGCAAAATCTCTTCACATTAATTAAAAAGAAAGCCAGAATAGCAAGTTAATTTTAAATGCAATGACTTCAAAATAATATATCAAAGTTGTGAGAGGAAGGTGGAGAGCAGAGCAAGTAGCCACTATGAACAATTCTACAGAGCGGGTTAGGTTTTAAAAGGTAATTATGATATAATGTGGGTTCATATATATATATATCACTGCAACATTACAGAGAACACAGGAAACATGAAGGTATCCCCCATTGATGAGAAGTGATGCTAAGGATTTGCAGATAATACGAGCAATCAGTTATTTTGGAGATAAAATGGTATAATCCAAAGAAGGGGATACAACTGACTGAAAAGGAGAGTAATGCAAGAGTAAAAAATGTATGACAGGGTGCAGGTAAGAGGGCTCTCACTGTTGCACAGGTGGTTTGCAATACAGGAGAGGGGTACGGTAAAGAGTTGCAGCGTAGAAGGGTTACTCTGTAGAGCAGGAGGGTCGAATCTGAGGGGGGAGGAGTGAGAGGTTGCAGAGCAGAAGGGAATCAGTGCACTGCAGCACAGATCCACTTCCTGGACACCACAGTACAAATCAACAATGGAAAATTAGACACCACTCTCTACAGAAAACCCACCGACTCATACAGTTACCTACATGCTTCCAGCTCCCATCCAGAACACACCACACGATCCATCGTCTATAGCCAAGCCCTTCGATACAACCGCATCTGCTCTAATCCCACTGACAGAGACCAGAAGCTTCAGAATCTCTACCAAGCATTTATAAACCTCAACTACCCACCTGGAGAAATAAAAAAGCAAATTGAAAGAGCCAGACGAATACCTAGAAACCATCTACTTCAAGACAGACCCAAGAAAACCAACAATAGAACACCACTTGTCATCACCTACAACCCCCAACTTAAACCTGTCCAACACATTATCAATAAACTACAGCCTATATTGGAACAGGATACCATACTCAAAGAGGCTCTGGGAGACAGACCCATAGTCTCCTATAGACAACCACCTAACCTCAAGATGATTCTTACCAACCACCACAGGACATACCACACTAATACCAACCCTGGTACCTTCCCTTGCAACAAACCCCGTTGCCAGCTTTGTCCACATATTCATTCTGCTGATACCATTATTGGACCTAACCAAGTAAGTTATAAGATCAAGAACACATATTCCTGCGCATCCAGAAATATAATCTATGCTATCATGTGCCGAAAGTGTCCGTCTGCTATGTACATTGGACAAACATCTCAGACACTTCGCCAAAGGATTAATGCCCACAAAACAGATATCAGACAAGATCACAAAGAGAAAACAGTTTCTTGCCACTTTAACCAGAAAGGACACTCTCTAAATGACTTAGCCACCTGCATTCTGCTACAAAGACCTTTTACATCTGCACTTGAAAGGGAATCCTCTGAACTGTCATTCATGTTAAAATTCGACACTTACCACCAGGGACTTAACAAGTCTTTGAACTTTCTCACCCATTATCAAGACAGTTTCCCCAATTATCACCTGTAATACCATTAACTCACAAACATCCCACTCTCCCTACCTTTAATATCAGCAATTCACAGACACTTACCTTCCTTCCTCCCCCTTCCCACCCCCCCGCATCCCCCTTCTGTTCTGCAATGTGATTTGTCCTTTTCATATTTGTTCATTTTTTTAAATTGTATCCTTTGGTATATATGGTTGTGACTACTTTCTTCCACTATTTGATCTGAGGAAGTGGGTCTGGCCCACGAAAGCTCATCATCTAATAAACCATCTTGTTAGTCTTTAAAGTGCTACATTGTCCTGCATTTTGCTTCAACTACCCCAGACTAACACGGCTACATTTCTATCACTATTCTACATGCAAGGCACTACATTTAGCCGTTTGGAATGGAAATCCATCAACCATATGAAGAAACTCGCACAGATACAGACAGACATCATCTTTCTATCCAAGTGCAAGAAAATGGACATCGTACCCAAAGGACTGAAAGTGAACAATCCACTAAGATCAACATACTTCACTGACTACAGTGAAAGACTCTGCCTCACACTATCCAAGAAATTAAGAAACCACCTGATAAGTATTTTATACAAGAAACAGAAAACCATCAAGAATGACATTTCTAACTTAGATCGTCTCATCTCAAGACAAACATCCACACCGACTGACACCTTGCAAGACTTTTGTTCCACCAGACAAGAAATCTACTATACACACTTCTATTCCCTACAACAAAGAAAAGACAATAAATTTTCTAACCTGCTCCATACCACTGGCTACAACAGCAACTGCCTCAACCCACCGGATAATATTGTTAACCTCTCCAGCTACAAACTCAATCCAGCAGAAGAGTCTGTCTTGTCCCGGGGTCTCTCTTTCTGCCCCACGTCCCCCACAAACTGGATACAATTTTGTGGTGACCTTGAGGCTTTTTTTCGCCGCCTCCGTCTCCGAGAATATTTCCAAACCACCACTGAACATCAATCTGACCTACCAGATCCCCCCTACCAACACCAAAGGAAAAATAATTCTATATGGACTCCCCCTGACGGTCGGAATTACAATCTGGATTTCTATATACACAGCTTCCGCAACAACGCACAGACTGACATTATTCGCAAACGACAACAAGCGACACACAATCTTAGCCGCGCTGAACACCATGCCATCCAGAGTCTCAAAAACAACCTGGACATTGTAATCAAACCAGCTGACAAAGGGGGTGCTGTGGTCATTATGAATAAGGCCGACTATAACCAGGAGGCAACCAGACAACTCTCGAACACCACATTTTACAAACCTCTCTTTTCCATTAATCAGCTAATTGAACCATAGGATCTTAGGGTTAATGGAGGCCTTAGCGAGCCCCCTGCTCTAGGCTGGACCAATCCCAACTAAATCAACCCGGCCAGGGCTTTGTCAAGCCGAGACTTAAACACCTCTAGGGATGGAGACTCCACTACTTCCCTAGGTAACCCATTCCAGTGCTTCACCACCCTCCTAGTGAAATAGTTTTTCCTAATATCCAACCTGGACCTCTCCCGCCACAACTTGAGACCATTGCTCCTTGTTCTGCCATCTGTCACTACTGAGAACAGCCTGTCTCCATCCTCTTTGAAACCCTCTTCCTACCCCTCCCCCCTCTTGCCCCATCAGGAAGTTGAAGGCTGCTATCAAATCTCCTTCTCTTCTGCATACTAAATAAGCCCAAGCCCCTCAGCCTCTCTTTGTAGGTCAAGCTGAAACAAAAAACAGGACTATGTAGCACTTTAAAGACTAACAAGATGGTTTATTAGCTGATGAGCTTTCGTGGGCCAGACCCACTTCCTCAGATCAAATCATGGAAGAAAATTGTAGGTCAAGGAATTTCCATCAACTCCTCGATTGGTCAATAAGAGAGCTGTGGTGCCCGCTAACCCTGCTGCATCTCTCTTTTAAATGTAGTAAGAGCCCTGTGGGACTGTTATATTTAAAAGGCATAGCAGTTGGGATCTGGCACAAACGGGGACTGTTTCAGTCCCTCTCTCATGCTATTTCCCCCATTGCACCTCTGCCTCCCCTGCCCCCCTCCCTGCAGATACAGTGCTGGAGAGAATAGGGGTAGTGATTAGTCGGGTAGTGACTAGATTACCAGATAAGTCTAGGCCCCAGTAGGCCTAGGCCTCCAATCTTTTACATCCAAGATGACTTTAAATGTAAGGGCAAGCCAAGATCTATCCCATCCTTTCCCTAAGACCCCTATACCTTCCTTGAGGCCCTGCCCTCTGCATTCCCCTCTTGTCCATCATTTGCTGTCCCCAGCCTTTACTTACTCTTACTGGGTTTAGATAGCAGGTATGGGCTCTGGGGTCGGAATGAGGGATTTGGATGTGGGAAAGGGGGAGTGGTGTAAGCTCTGGTTGGGAATTTGGGTGCATGAAGAGTTAGAGAAGGGGATGCTGGCCCAAGGATGGAACTCCAGGCTTGAGAGTGTTGGGGTCAGGTGGAGGGTTGCACTGCTGAGCAAGCTGCAGGCTTGTGGAGGTGGGGGTGCAGGAGTTTGGGTTGGTGTATATGAGGGGCTCAGGGCAGGGGGGCTTGGGTGTATGATGGGTGCAGGGCACAGGTTTATGGTATGTGGATGGTGCAGGACTTTTTGTGGCAGAACACTGGGGATATGTGGGGTGGGAGTTTGGGGATGTGAGGGGCTCAGGACAGTGAGTTCAGGTGTATGACAGGCTCGTGGTTGGGGTCTGTGGGAGATGCAGGAGTGTCATGATGCTTTGGCCAGGTGGGGGCTTGTTGACCAGGCTTCATTTTTAAATAAAATATTATGTCCAACACAAAATATTTCAGCATTCTTTATTTATGGGAGGGCTGGGAAACCTGTTTTGGGTCATGGGTCACTGATGCACAGAAAAATCAGTCAGGGACCACACAAGTGAGATGCAAAATACAACCTCCAACCTTCCCTGATGTGGCCCCAACTAAGACACCTCAGTCCTCTAGAACTCCAGCCCCATGGGGAGGAGGGTAGGTAGGACTGAGGTTCAAGGCCTCAGGCCAGATGAACTCTTCTGAAGTTCTAGGGTTAGTGAATTTTATAGACCCCTCTACTGGAGATGCAGGAGTGTCATGATGCTTTGGCCAGGTGGGGGCTTGTTGACCAGGCTTCATTTTTAAATAAAATATTATGTCCAACACAAAATATTTCAGCATTCTTTATTTATGGGAGGGCTGGGAAACCTGTTTTGGGTCATGGGTCACTGATGCACAGAAAAATCAGTCAGGGACCACACAAGTGAGATGCAAAATACAACCTCCAACCTTCCCTGATGTGGCCCCAACTAAGACACCTCAGTCCCCTGGAACTCCAGCCCCATGGGGAGGAGGGTAGGTAGGACTGAGGTTCAAGGCCTCAGGCCAGATGAACTCTTCTGAAGTTCTAGGGTTAATGAATTTTATAGACCCCTCTACTTTCTGAGGTGGGGCCAAAAATGAGGGAACCAGTGTGCAAGACAGGGCTGCCAGTGAGTGGGCTAGAGATGGGGGGGTGCAGAATCTGAGTGGAAAGTAGGGTACAGGAGCAAGCTGGGAGCAGATATCTGGCCACGGGAGAGGGGGCAGAAGCAGGGTGCTTGTGGGTCTCTGGCCAGGAGGCAGGAGCAGGGTGCTGGTGGAGGTCTGGGCGGAGGCCAGGGTGCTAGGGTGGGTGTCTGGCCTGTGGAGAGGGGAGCAGGGGCAGCTCAGATGGTACCTGGGGATCTCCAAGGGGAAGTATCGCTGGGAAAGTATCTGTGGGCAGTGCTGGATAAAGTGCACATGTGGCTCCTTTAAAAAATCCAGCTGCTCGGGATCCTGCACCACCATTTTAAAAACCCACACATACACCTTCCCAGAGTACAGGGAAAGAAGAGAAGACAAGAAAGCGCAAGCTCTTTCTTGTCTTCCCTTCTTTCCCAATGCTGTCTGCCTTCCTTCCTCATGGGGGGAGGAAGTCCTGAGGGCTAGATCCAGCTTCCTGAGAAGCCAGATCTGGCGTGGAGCCTCAGGGCTTCTTCTCTTCACCCCCATCCTCTGTCATGGCTCCTTCCCCACTCTGGCATAATAAAT